TTGCACTTTTAGGTTAGGATATATCGAGAACCTTACGTGCTGGATTGATCTGATGTCAGATTGAGTTTTAGCTCATGGTATACCTTCGGAAATACATACGAGGTGTGATCAAAAAGTAAGGTGAATTTTTATTTTTCTCAAAAAATATTTATTTATTCATCAATTTTTATTTTATCTCCTTCGAAGTAATCCCCCTCGGATATAATGCACTTGTGCCAACGCTTTTTCCAATCCTCAAAGCATTTCAAAAAATCATTTTTTGTGATCTTGTTTAGTTCATCCTTCGATGCCATCTTTATCTCCTCAATCGTGGCAAAACGCCGTCCTTTCATGGGCTTCTTCAGTTTTGGGAACAAGAAGAAGTCACAGGGGGCCAGATCTGGGGAATACGGTGCCTGTGGCATCGTTACTGTGTTGGTTTTAGCCAAAAATTCGCGCACAAGCAACGATGTGTGAGCAGGGGCGTTATCATGGTGCAAAAGCCAATTTTTATTTTTCCACAAATTCGGACGTTTCTGGCGGATTGCTTCGCGCAAATTGCGCATAACTTGCAGGTAATATTCCTTATTTACTGTTCTACCCTGTGGCAAGAACTCATGATGCACCACGCCCCTGCAGTCAAAGAAAACTGTAAGCAAAACCTTTACATTTGATCGAACTTGGCGTTCTTTTTTTGGTCTTGGTGATCCAGAATGCCTCCACAGGGACGATTGAGTCTTAGTCTCGACGTCATAACCGTATACCCATGTTTCGTCACCTGTTATAACCCTGTTGAGTAAATCTGGATCATCGTTGACGTCATTCAGTAGCTCTTGGGCGATACTCATGCGACGTTTCTTTTGGTCGAAATTGAGCAATTTCGGAACAAACTTCGCTGACACACGTCTCATGTCTAAAACACTCGTCAAAATTGATTGGCACGAACCAAATGAGATGCCAATATCATCGGCAATTTCTCTAATGGTAATTCGACTATTTCCCAACACTATTTTCTTCACTTCTTCAACATTCTCATCAGTTGTTGATGTGCTGGGGCGTCCAGAACGAGGTTCGTCATCGGTGTCTTCTCGGCCTTCTTGGAAGAGTTTATACCACTTGTAAAGATTTTTTTGGCTTAAAGTAGACTCACCGTATGCCACTTTCAGCATTTCAAGTGTTTTGGAAAATTTGATTCCATTTTTAACACAAAATTTAATGCAAACTCTTTGATCCATGTTTTTAGACAGCAGCAAATCGTGGAGCACGCAAAACACTTATAACCTTGATGCCTCTCACAAACAAACCAAACATACTACAAAGCTGAAATTTGGAACGTATGTTCTAGACGAGTGTACCGACATAACCAAATAAAAAAGTCGAAGATCGAACGGACGTAGCCCGCTAAATTTCAAAATTCACCTTACTTTTTGATCACATCTCGTATACTATCGCGCTTCTAGATTCTTTTGAATGTCGGTCTCTGTGATTAACAATATTAATCATAATAAAGCTCCGAATTTGATAATATTACAAGAAAAATTACTATCAATAGCAATAAGATACATTGCAATTATTTTTAATCCATGCTTACGTTTTTACTATTTTACTACTCACAATCAGTGGAAAATAGTAGAGATAATGTTAATATCCAAATCCGATAAAGAACCTGAACTGGTATCCTTATACAGATCGGGTAGACTTTTACGAATATTTTCAAAACTTTTTAAAAAAGTAATCATAGCTAGAATCAATCTAATAATACCGAATACTTATTCTAGACCATCAATTCGATTTCAGATGCAACCACTCTAAGATTGAACAAGTTAATTAAGTTAATAGGTTAGTGTCTGCTGTGAGGAAATTCACTAAAGGTAAACAGAATTCTTCATAATATTTCCTATTGTTAGTCAGGCGTTTAATAAAGTTGTGAAGAGAACTTTTGGAGGACTTAACGACCGGCAAAATCTCGTGCCATGACTCATTTAAATTGATGCACCTTCCCTACTTATTTAATGAAGTGACAGACTTCTTTTCGTGGGTTACAGCAGTTGCCGGAGATTGGAGTAAGAAATGCGAAAAAAACTCGCACGACGCTTATTAACTGTGAAAGGAGTGAGATGTGGGGTGAGTGTTTCCAGAATAAAGTGAACCAGCTTGATCCAAAATGGTGGCTCTGCTCCAACTGCTCGGTTTCGTTGTCCTTGCTTTCGTGTCTCATAGAGATTAGCCCCATTGAGCTCGTGTCTACAACTGTTTTCTGAGAGCTAGATGCCAGTGGATTTCAGCAAAATGGAAATCTAAGTAACCTTTTATTTCTCGGATTATCGTAGGTATAAGTTAAGTTAATTTTATTTAATTTTTTTTGGATTTTATATTTTTTCTAGAGATTCCTTAAAATTTAACCTTCGCCAACCTTGCTCATAACGAATTGCTCTTGTTGATGTTTGTAGCATTGTTCTTTTTTCACCTATAAAGAAAGACTAAAATCGTAGCATTGAAAAAAACCACTCATTGACTACAGTCTGTTTCCTGGTGACTCCTAAAAAATTGGTCTTTGAAATTTATTGGAAAAATCAGCAGATCAGTTTCTTTTAATATTTGGCTACAACTTGAAAAACCCAATTTCGATTCTCATATGTTCTATACATACTGATTAATTGCATTTCCGACAATAAGATGAGTGAAAAAAATATGACAATGTATAGTTTTCAGCCACAAGCTGTAAAGTAAACGTGCATGCATTGTGAGGTAGATTTTAAAGACAATGAAATGGAAAAATATCGAAATGGTGACGTTAACACAAGAAAAACTTTTAGAAAAACTATAGAGTGGAATTCAAGTACCAGAAATTATTCTAAAAAATAAATTTTGAGATTAAAATTTGAAAATTTTGTAAAAATCAAATTTATTAAAATATTATAAATCTAGTGCTATAATTAATTTTAAATTGAATTTCACGAGATAAATATAAATGACCATCAAAAACATCAAGCAAGAACAAGCGAGGGATTCAAATTATGATCAGGACTAGATAGCAAAAGCGACATGGTGGTATTCTACCAGAACATGTTATTTGACTATGCGGTAATCAATGGTATCAAAGACTCGACGTTCTGCTGCACTTGTACCTCGCGCAGTGATACGAAGCTTTCGTTCATTATTTTTTAGATAAATATTATTGATCGGAATTCCAATAATAATTAAATAAATTGTGATATACGAGGTGTGTTCAAAAAATAACGAGAATTTTCGTTTTATGAAAAAAATATTTATTTATTCATCTACATTAATGTTGTCGCCTTCAAATTAGTCCCCTTCGGATATAATACACTTATGCCAACGCTTTTTCCAATCCTCGAAACACTTTTGAAACTCGATCTTTGTAATAGCTCTTAGCTCTTTCAGCGATTCGCTTTTAATGTCATCTATGCTTGTAAAACGACGGCCTTTTAATGTTCTCTTTATTTTTGGAAATAGAAAAAAGTCACATGGAGCCATATCTGGCGAATATGGAGGCTGAGGCATCGTTACAGTTTCGTTTTTGGCCAAAAATTCACGAACAAGCAATGAAGTGTGAGCAGGCGCATTATCGTGGTGCAAAAGCCATGAATTGTTTTGCCACAAATCCGGGCGTTTTTTTCGGATTGCTTCACGCAAACGACGTTGAACTTGTAGGTAGTACTGCTTATTAATTGTTTGACCTTGTGGCAAGAATTCATAATGCACTATGCCATTAAAATCGAAGAACACAGTAAGCATAACCTTCACATTCGACCGCACTTGTCGAGCCTTTTTCGGTCTTGGCGATCCAGAATGCCTCCACTGGGACGATTGAGCCTTAGTTTCGACATCATATCCGTAAACCCATGTTTCGTCACCTGTTATAACACGTTTTAGTAGTTCTGCATCGTTATTGACTTCATTTAGCGACTCCTGAGCAACTTCCATTCGCCGCTGTTTTTGTTCGAAATTCAACAATTTTGGAACGAATTTTGCTGCCACACGTTTCATACCCAAAACATTCTTTTCAGACCTCGAGGAAACGTATTTTTCAGACGGGTTAAAGAAGTTGGAGCATCGCTCGGCCAAGTGTATCGAACTAAAAGGAGACTATGTTGAAAAATAAAACGCCACTTTTCCAAAATGTTCGTTTTTCTTTTGTAGGCTAAGTACTTATCGGACCACCCTCGAATATGTGTATGTCACAAGATAGTTTAATCGCTCTTAGTTCTCTGACATCAGAAAGAAATTTTTTTTGTGTACAGGAATTATGAAACTTTTTATGTAATAAGTTTTTCTTTTGAGAATGTAAAGTTTTGATTAAATTTATTGATAACACAATTGAAATTTCTAAATTTTTAGTTCAAGGTACAGGTTTATTTGTTTTAACGGTCGTCTTAAAAATGGTGATAGGGAGTGTCACCGAATAGTTGGTAAGATTTTGTTAAATAAATAATGACTCAAATAGATACAAAGAAGAATGATTATTTAGATTTTGCAACAACCTATTTTCTTAAACGATACGGCGAGCCGCTTGAAATAAAGTAACAATATAATATAAGTACACTAAATCTGGAAGCAAAGAGTCCTCAAATAAATAAAAATAATATCTTAAATACATAAACGACTTAGTAGCAGGCCTTCGACAATCCTATTTGAGGTCGCTATCACGTTCGTGGATGTATTAGAGATGACTGATTTCATTGTATATTATATTATAAGAGGTACTATTAAAAGTAGTGTATATGAAGACATTGAAGTGTCACTGTCTGGTATTCAAAATACCGTTTTTGAAAAAATGGTATTGGTATTAACTATTGAGTCTCATTTTAAGTGGTGGTATGTAATGTGGAGTTCATTTTATATATATGTAAATAATCTATAAGACAATAAGTACTTCAACACAAATGTTCATCAATTAAGTTACTTATAAGACTTAGGTTTATTTTCGGATGTATTTATTCATTTTTATAAAATTAGCTAAAATTACATGATAATATACTCTATTAATCGATACTCACTTGTCAGAAATTATATCAGCTACGCTGTCTGGGTTCATATCACTTAACATTTCTAGCTCGGTTTCATTCAAAAGAGATACATCTGAAATATCATTACGAATAAAAGATAAAATTGAGTCCATTTGAATAGCCTCATATTTACTTTTTTCCTGTTCTTGTTGATGTCTTAAGCCATGATCAATAGTATCATCTACCACTATTAATTGAGGTTTAGATTTTGTCAGTTTTACTGGAGTCCATTTTTGATTATTTTGTAAGATCATCAAAATTGTATTGCTTTCTAAAGTTGCAAAGTAATCTTCATCATCTATTTCTGTTCCTAACGGAATATTTTATTGATATTATTATTTTGTAACAATTATATTTTTATAAATTTTAATAGTTTTTCGATGATCTTGTAACGCCGGCTCGATATAAAAAGGGACCAGGAAAAAACAGGCCACACACTTAGCTTGTAAATTAGAATTATAAATCGCGTACAACTGAAAAAAAAAAATTTTCTTCGTGAACGACAGTTTTCGTTTCGCACATCTGGCAATTTTCGGATGTTTGGAAGTGTACCATAATAATCAGAGTGAGTTTACAACCGCGCCATCCGGAATTACCAGATTGCGAACATCTCAGAAAATTTCCGAATAACAGGAAAATGGAGAGCTGCAGCGCACTTGTGCATCCTATCCATAATACAATTATTTTATTTTAATTAATTTCTTTTCAATTTTATTAATTTCTGTTAAATTAAAGGAAGCACATTTGCTTGCAGATCTCTCAAAAATATGCGAGACTTGTCTGTTTCAAGTAGTTTTCAAGTAATTAACAAAAGACTATTTTGATTAATAGTTTTTGTTTAATGCTCGAATAGCTTTAGTTTTTAAATAATTCATTATATATTTTCGTATTAATTAAGATTTGTATTGTGAATTTTATGAGTTTAATCGTTGAATACGCTCATCTTTGCGTTAAAAAACCTTAAGAATGGCTTGAAAGAAAGTTAATGATTATATTTATAATAATTAACTTCGATTTTCCAGTATTTCTTATGGGTTTTTGGTAAATAATTAATGGTTAAAACTATTAAAATCTTGTTTGTTTCCAGAAAAATATAATCCTTAACTTTTTTCTGTACTTTAGTTTTATTATAGACTAAATAATATTTTTGTATTAGTAAGATTAGAGTACCACACACACAATTAATTTAAATAAAATTAATTTAAATAATTAAAGATTAAAATAGTACATAGAGGGCCATCTGTGTGAAGAGAGCCAAAAACACTTGAATGAGGCCACTCCCGCATACTCCACCCCCGATCAATTAGGGCTCGAATTTCGCTTACGCTTGAGACACTCCCCAAATTTTCCAATCAATTAAATCAGGAAAATTTGAGTTCTTCCTGCGCAAAAATGACAAGGAATTTAGAGTGGGACTCTCTTGCGAACACCATAAAAGGCAGCTCTTGAAGAAAAATAGGCAGTTTTTATCCCAGTTTGTTCCAGTTCAGTATTCTATAAAAAGGATCTCCGTGTGTGTGGGAAATAAGTACAAAAAAAAGTAAGTAAACTAATTTAATAAAAAAAACCAAAACTCTAATTCCGTTCATTCAGTTCATTTCTTTTCACATTCTTTTCTTTCTTATTAGTTTCGCGTACGATTTTTTTAATTTTAGATAGTTACACTCGATTTCCAAGCGTGTGGTCGAGTGCATATTAGATAGGCTTCCTATTACGTTATTTTATTGCCAAGAGTGTAGTAAAAGAACGCGAAGCACAAATATATTGCCAAGCGTGTGGTATAGTAAAGATTCAATCCTTCGTCGCCGAAAAAAGAATTTCCCACGATAGTGGCAACACACGTCCCGGTTATTGTCTAAAAGGACAGACCAAAAAGTGCGCCTGAGAAATATGTCGCGTCAACCGACGTCACATAAATAAATTTTTGAAGGCCCCGGATGGATACAAGCCACTATCGAGAACTTCTGTAGGTCAAACATTTCCTCTTCTTTCAAATTTTTACAAACAGTCTAGTTCGTTCAGATAATTATGTAACCGGAAAATATAATTCAACAATAAAAGTTTTGGTACTTATAAAATTCTGAATATTCCGATAAAAAAAACAAAATCTTCCTTCGATAATTGTGTTCGTTTAATAGAAAAATCATTTGAGTTTTTTAGAATATTTTTTTTTCGTACATTTAAAGAAAACTATCGTTTCGAAAGTAATGTCAATTTAAAAAAAATATATTTTGAGTCCGTTTTCTTTTGAAATACGAACTGCGATTTTTTAAGTATTATTTCTTTTTATTTATTCCACAGATTAGTTCACTAAACGTTGTTTTTTATTACAACCTGTTCTAAATTTGTTTTAAGAAGTTTGAAAATATAAAATTTAGGGTTCAATTAATTACCTATTCGTGAAACGTTTCTTTATCGTATGCCAAATTTTGAATTTTTTTTAGTGAATCCCGGATTTATAAAAAACGGTTACCAAAAAATAAGAGGAAAGCTCGCGCCAAGGCTCTTCAAAATCACCCTGACGGCCTTAGCAAGGAAATTTACGAAAAATATCGATTTTTGTTCGACAACTTACAACAAACATAGCCTGCATTTTCCGAGCCATTTGAACCCGGCTTTATTACAAAAGAGATAAATGTGGGGGTAGCACCCATATTACCTCCAAAGACGATACCAGTAGCTCCGAAAACAATTGAGGAAAAGTTAGAGTACATTCGAGAAAGGATTTGTACTCATGGTAACAACTCCGAATATTGCTCTTCCTGCATAAGTGACTTCTCAGATAATTTCAAAATTTGAATTTGTGAATATCGTTGAAATGTTAGAATCACATAAAAAAGGAATCGATTTTAATATTAAACGTGATAATATTCTTAGGGATAGAGTAGACAAATTAGATAAGACTGTAGAAACCGACTTCGCTCATTTGCGTCGCCTAAATAATCAAGTTACCCAACTAAATCTTCAGAATAGTGTTTTAAGCAAAAATCTTGCGAAACCCCATAAAATCATTAGACAACATAAGAGAGTTTTAAATGTAATTACTAACAGTTTTGATTTTAAAATCCAAGAATTGTGCTATTTATTTGATAAGCTTTCGTTCAAAGTATAATCCACCCTATTTACCTTAATGAGTGATAACCAACGCCTTACGCGCAGTAAAGTTAGAGGACTTACTTGGACTGTTTCAGTAAAACCCAGTAGTTTGAAAAGGTCGACCAAGAATTTAACTCAATTAGAAGATCGTGACAGTATAAGAAGTGCTTCGACAACACCTAAAGGAACCGATCAGGATCTAAACTAAAAGTTAGTCAGCCCAGGCTCGAGTGAGATTAATTCGGATTCTCTCGATAAATTTGTAACTGAAAACCAATCAATAGATACAAACGAGGTAGTTAAGAGTCCAAGACAGAAGCCACAATCCACTGTAGATATCCCACCAAGTAATAATTCACAGACTATCAAAATGAGTGAAAACGATAAAAAAGGGGAAATGCCCACCGTTCAGGGGCAGGTTATGTCACTGAAAGACGCACTGAACGTTATTCCGTGATTTGATGGGAAACCTGATGAATGGATTCGATTTGCGGAAGGATGCAAAGAAGCCTTGACAATGATCCCAAAACCAATAGAAGGTAACTTGGTGAAATTGATAAGGTCAAAATTAGAAGGATAAGCTAGAGATATGGTAAGTGGGATCAATTTTGGAACTCTTGATGAATTACTAGAACATCTAGCGGATATTTTCGGATCTGCCCAAACGCTTAACCAGCTTTTAGGTGAATTAGGAAATGAATTTCAGCATGATGATGAAAAAGTATTAACTTTCGCTAATAGGCTACGACTACTATCGACAAAAATCATTGATGCTAAAAGGAAAATTGGTGAAATTGAATAAGTTACGAATGAATATAAACATGCTCTGGAAGAAAATATTTTTGAGTGTTTCAAGAATGGATTGAAATCGGAAATTAAATTAAATCTAGCTCTCGGAGCCACTTCAACTAACATATTAAAGCTCATCATAAAAGCAGAAAAATGATTTAGAAATACAATCAGTAGTTAGATCAGGATTTAAGAACAAAGTATCAAATCAAAAAATGATCAATTTATGTCAACTTTGTAATAAAGAAGGGCATGAAGCACTGCATTGCCTTAACATTTCAAAGCCTCTTGGGAAACAATGTACATATTGTAAGAAGTCTGGGCATGAAATAAAAGATTGCTTTTTGAAAAAGGGTAATGACAATATTAGCTGTCAAATTTGCGATAAGAAAGGTCATAACGCTCGTGAATGTAAATCACAATTGAAATTTCAAATTTGCAATAAAATAGGCCATATAGCGAAAACTTGTACATATCGTGCACAAGTTAACATGATCAACGAAGTAGTTTGTCAACTGTGTAATTGAGTCGAGCATACTGGCAAACAATGTTAAAATATTTTAGGAATAGAATCTGCTAGTAATAAGAATCCTACAGTTGATAAGTCGAATATCATATATTTTTATTGTACGAAACCTGAACATGTGATAGCTGAATGCATAAAAAGAAAGGCCAATGAAGCCCGTAATCAAAATCAGGGAAACGAATCATGGTCCCCGCAATCGAGCGTAATGCAGAGGACCAATACACCACAAGTGCGCCAATTGAACGAAAACAACGAGATGTTGCTCAGCCTAGTCCCTTAAGTTCAAGACTTTTCGCAAAAGTTCCTACAATAAGTGCTAACTTTTTAGGAAATAACCGTTTGAAAATAATGTTTGATACTGGATCAGATGCTAATATGCTTAAAATTACCCTATTACAACACCGAAGAACGCATTAATAATTTAGAACGCATTGATAATTTAAAACGTACCTTTTTGAAAGGAATCGGCTTAGAAACCGTATCCACACTAGGCGTAATCACTTTGTCAATTTTCGGAAAAGCCACTGAATTTCAAATTATTCCAAGCAATTTTCCGATACCCTATGAAGCAGTTCTTGGAGCCGGATATTCGCTAGAAAATGAGGCAATTATTAATTTTTCTACCCGTCAATTCATTGTTGGCAATCATAGACTCTATTTTGAAGAAATCAATTATCCCGCTCATGCTAGTTTCTGTTTTGTTCACAATGCCAAAATGAAGGAAATTGATAAAGTATCACCTAAAATCAGAATAATCAACCCCCCTACTGACACAAAAGAATACTTCTTATTAGATACAGGGTCAGAAGTTAATCTTATAAAACAACACTTATTACTTCCAGGGAATGAGATAGATACCACGAAAATAATTTGTATAAGAGGTATTGGAAACAACTTGC